CAGTCAAGTGAGCACATCACATGTCAAGTTCATCACAGTTACAGCTGTGGTCACATGACCTTATACCATTCATTCCACACATACTGAGTGTTTACGGGAAGTTCAAGGCCCCAGGGAAGAAAAAAAAAAAATTTCCCAGCAGCCCTTAGGTTGGATTACTAAACATAAACACATTTTTATGATTTCTCTGATTCGTTGTTTCGTGGAAGATGATATGAAATTAGATAGTAGTAGTAGTTTCCTACTGTTTTACAGGAAAATGTCAAATGTCACACTTATATTCCTAACGTTTTTCAGGAAAATGTCAAATGTCACACTTATATACACAGCGCTGTGTAAACTGCACACACACACCGCGCTCGTCTGGTAACAGACATTCTGTAAGTGTCATGTCATGATATAATCTCCTATAAAAACTGACAGTGACACTTCGCCGACTGGGCGTGTTCTGGTCCTGCTGGCTTTTTCACGTGTCTTTTTTTTACGTGCTTTTGATGTGTTGACACAAACATGACGGTGTTTGCATGATCACATGCAGCAGTGCACATATTTGCACCTGAAACTTCTTCTATTTTCACTTTTTTTTTTGCAAAGGAGCCATAAAAACACAAGTGAACTTTGTGCTGTGAACAGGCAAAACAAAAAAAGTGAAAATTCTCTCTCCCAAAAATAATAAAAAAAATAGCCTGAAAATTCTTTTATGTAATGGAAAAAATATTTAAAGTTAAAATAACTTCACTGATTAATTTATTTAAAAACATGAACCCAGACTCATGTTTGTATAAATGAGAAAAAAATCTGGGAGAATTTGCACGAATGATGGATGTGATGTTGTGTGTTTTAACCATTAAAATGTAGTTTTGTTTTGGCATCAGTGCAAGAAAGATGTTTATCTGGAGGAATGCACGAAGATCGTTAGCACCGTGAGTGGATTTACGAAGCTAACGTAGGGAATGACGGCACCTGAGGAACAAAAGAAATCATTAAAAAAATAATATCCATTTTTACAAATAATTACATGTGGAAAAAAGTTAAAGTAATTTCCCAAAAACTAGTTTTACTAGTACATACAGTATGTGAAAAAAAAATTAGTTAAGGGTGTGTGTATTAGCATACGTGTGTGTGCCTCCATTTCTTCTCACATAATGAGTGCAAACGCATAATTACAAAACAACCAATCACGGTACCATTACTGTAAATCAACGTTAATTAAACTTAATGAACTTTTTGGTCCGTTTATAAACCACATGCAAAAGAAAGAGTTTTGACCTCAAACGATCATCTCCTCTCTCCAAACCGGACCAGCTCTCTTTTAAACCTGGTGGTGGTGCTAGAGGAAAGGTTAGTCACAGGAAAAATAGGTTAAAAAAAAAAAAAGGTAATAGAAACACTTTATCTGGAGTGTAAAGGACCCTGATCCCAAACCCCTCAGTCGTGCTGACTAGATCACAGTTAGTGATGTGTAGGAACAGTGTATTTTGTCGATATATTTATTTATTTTTTCAGTTGGCTGTGACTGAAAACAACAGTGGAAAGTGTGTTCTACACTGACCACTGATGTGACACTGAGATGGAGACTCTGTTTGTCTCAGTATTGTAGGTGAGATTTACCTGGAAATAATTCCAGCCCCACTGGAACTGAGCTCCTGTCATTGGTCAAGACTCATATGGTTGTGGTTCCAATTTTTTTTAAAATATATTTATTACTTGTCAACAAGGTTTGGAAGAAGGTGTAGATCTCATAGAGTCCGTAGCTCCCCCTGCAGGAAGCTTCATGCTCTACGTTTACATACACACAATTTTTAAAAAAAAAAAAATTTTGCCTTCGGTCTGAATAAAAGCTGTCGATTGAACGACCAACAGGTGAATCTGATGTTTCTCAGCAGGCCTCTCTGCAGAGCCTCACTGGTTTCATCCAGCCATGTCAGCGAGGACTGGGAGGCCTCTGAAGGCCCCCCCGTTTCTTACTCGTGCACCCCTCTGTCTGGGCCAACAATAACACAGGCGCTGAGGAGGGGAATGTGCACAGGAAACCAGCGCTTTGCAGCAGCAGCAGCAGCAGCAGCAGCAGCCTCGGCGGCTCTGAGGTTGGCTGAGCCGACGCCCTGCCTGGATCTAAGTCACGTTTTCAGCCCCGTCTGGGAGGGGCTCCTGCAGAAAAGTCACACGTACTGAACTTTCCCACATGATTTTGTCAGCAGGATCAGACCACAGTACAGAAGAAAAAAAAAACATGTGTAACTAATACACTAAGACTTACAGCCATTACCTGTTGGGCAGAGATGGAGCGTAGACGGGAAAATGTATTTAAAAGTTGTGGGAAAACTGTCCCCTCCCACCCTCCCCTTGTTATGTTCTCATTTTAATCTTTACTTGTCATCAACACGTACTGGGACACAAAGTCTGGTCAGTACAAGAGCGCTCTCTTGTCCAGCTTCCCTCTGGTCTCTGAGAGCGTTGATATTCCCTGTCATCCTTCCTCTGCCAGGTGTTTTGTCGGCGTCCTGGCTGCCAGCACAGGCCAGACTCTGTTCTCATCCCTGTGTGGAAGACCGCTGGGAAGATCTCTGTCTCTGGTCCTGTTTCCATTAATTTCTGTCTTGGAGCATTCCTCGTACTCTCTGCTGTTGTCTCTAATTCCTTTGTCTGTTGTTTTTGGAGTCAGGTCTCCCTCAGACCCCCAGAGCGAAGCCTGTTAACTTTCCAGCCGTAAGCTCTAAGACAACAGTACAAAGCAGTGCCGTCTTAACACTCTCTCCGTCTGAGACCTGGCTAACATAACACTTGGAGGCATAAATTGAAAACTGCTCTGCGGGGCTGGAAGGAATTCTGATCCCTGAAAAAAAATGCTTTGACCTAATTCTGGCAAAGGCTGAAAGGTGATGTCGCTCTGCTCCAGCAGAGGGTGCCAGATACTACAGCCTCGTCATACCGTCTGAACAAACATGTCTGGAGGAGTTCGTCTGCCCTAGATTTTTAAGAGATTCATCAAAAACAAATAATATATTTTACACTGCTAATCATATTTTATTATTATACAAATTCAAATTTTTGAAGGCAACAGCCCAGAGGGAACATGGCTATTGGGAATTTTGAGGACAGTTTGTTCTTCTACTTTTTCCTAATTCATTCGCCGTTGACTTTTCACTCTGATTTTTCCACTTTTTCAGATCTCTGTCCAGTTTGTCGTCACAGTGACTTAAGACCTTTCCCATTCATCTTTGCAGCTCCATTCAACTCTGTCAACCCTAGCAGCTGGGACGTGGTTGAATCAAGCCCCAACATGCAGAGAGAGAGAGAGAGAGGGAGAGAGAGAGTAGGAGAGAGAGAGAGTGATGCTCATGTACCCTCAGTGCGGCCTGCAGGGCCTAGTTCCAAATAAAAGTTCATACAAACAGCACAAATTAAGGACAGAAGATGCCTCTAAACGACACCAACCTCGCAAGTGTTTGTTTCTTTACGCACAGACGCGTGTTTGTGTGTTCGGTCAATGCCACATTTCCATTCTTCAAGGAGGAGGACTGAGAGGCAAACATTCTTCAGCTTCATGTCGGGGGCGTTTGATTGCCAAGCATAAAGTCATCTACAAAGCCTCTCTCACCCACCTGTTTACAGACTTAATTAACAGGCAAACCTGAAGTCAGATGGAGCCCACGTCATCTGTTGTGTCAGGTCGGGGGTCCGTCTAACCATGGCTTCACTGTGGAAGAATGTAAGAGTCAGTGAAGTCACGCGACCGGCCCCTGAGAGCAGACTAACCAAAGAACTGGCTTCACCGTCTGAACGTGACGGTGAACAGTTTTGGGGGCAGATTAAAATAAATAAATAAGTAAGTAAACCCAAAACACTGGGTATTTGAAAAATGTTTTTTTAAATGTCAGAATGAATAATATTCATCAGACATGACTCAAAATGTTCTGTTGAAACTAAACCATTTAAAAACAACAGAGTTTAAAATGACA